GCTACCCAGGAGGCTGAGGCAAGAGAATGGCTTGAGCCCAAGAGTCTGAGGTTGCTGTGAGCTATGATGCTATAGCACTCTACTGAGGGTGATAAAGTGAGACCCTGTCCCAAAAAAAAAAAAAAAGAAGAAAGAAAAATAAATAAATAAATAAAATTCAACTCTCACATAAGAAGAAATTGGGAAGCAGGGCAATTGAAGTATTAGCTACCTTTATTACCAGGAAAGGCTAAGTGATCTTCTATTGTAGCACTGCCTCAGATTCACAAGCAGTTAGAAAACAGCTGGGGGAAAAGTACAGCCTCAGACATAAAGTATAAAGAATTCCTTTATTATAAATAATGAAAAGTCCCAGCTTCTTGGGAGGCTGAGGCAAAGGAATCACTTAAGCCCAAGAGTTTGAGGTTGCTGTGAGCTCTGACATCACAGCACTCTACCGAGGGTGACATAATGAGACTCTGTCTCAAAACAAACAAACAAAAAAAGGCGATAAAACCAGAAAAATAAATGAATATTCTCTTTAAATAAGAGTCTAATATGGCTACCCAAAATAACTAAAATAACACAATAGCCAACAGTTAAACTTTACCTTCAAACATCAGCATTACATTTGTAAATCCTTTTCAGTCTAGAAATCCTCTTCATTCAACTTTTTTATAGACTGCTTCATTTTTCTAGAAGATATTATATTAATCATAATTTGTTTAAATTAATTGTGATGTACTTATCATAATCATCTCTTTAATATTTACATACCATTAGACTGCAACTTTGATCATTTAGGGAAATTTCCATTTTGACTCAAGAAAAATGTCCACACATTTATAGATTTTACTGTTCAGAGCAGGTCACCTCCAGACCTCTTGGATAATTCACCCTTTTCTAGGAAAGCGTATGCGATGTACAAGTTCCCTGAACTTCCGTATCAAGGAGTAGCTATTCATGGTGTCTTTCCACACTTCATAAGTCCTTCTAAGTTTGTCGTAATAACTTCCTTTCTTCAAGTTGAAATCTGATCCAGGTGTTTTTAAATAACTGTCTTTTTTCCATATTTCTCTCCAGGAATCTTTGAATTTTTCCAAATAGTTTTCTTTTTCAAATTCTTCCTTCCATATTCCTTCTCCTTTTTTGACAGCTGTTAACTCAGCTTTAAGTAGGTTTCTATGAATGGTCCAATAGATTTTAGAATCGTAATTAAGCTCTTTAACAAGAACAGTTTTGCCAAGACCTCGTCTCAAAATTTCTTCATTCAGACTCACACTAAAATAGCCTCCCTTGAATTAAAAAATAAAATCAATCAATTATTTAAGAAAACTGTTATTATGCCCATAACATCTTATTTACTTTAAAATCACTCATTCAAACAATATTGGTCCTCCAGAGAAAAGCCCAAATTTAAAACTAAAAAGGTCCCCAAGACCTTAAAATAGCTTTTGCTAAATCCAAAAATTTTATTAGAGGACACCCTTGCTCAAAGCCAATCTATTCTCCCATAACACAGAATTCCCCATGGGTTCATTGCTCTCTTAACCCAAAGAAGCTTTAGCAACAAAGTAAAAAAGAAATTTTTTTGTTTGTTGATTAGTTGGAGGGAAAGTGAGGCACACAGAAAGGCACAGAGAAAGACAGGAGATCACAACAAAAGAAACTGAATGAAACTAAAGAAACTAAAAAAGTAGTCAAGTACAAAATGAACTGAATCATCTCTGAACTATTAAATTAAGTTCCAAATTCCAGTGTTTAGGACAGGTGGAATGTCAATACATATTTCAAAGATTTCCCTCAAAATAATTAACATAAAAATAGTCCTGGCCTTTGAATCTTCATCCTTCAGGAAACCTCACTTTTTATGAAACCAGAGAAAAGGGATTTTTTCCCCCACTAACTCACTGTATAAAGAAGATCCTGCTCAACTATTTCTTTACTCCTTGTGGGATTTTAATCTACCAAAATTAATCTTTTTTTTTTTTTTTTTTTTTGAGACAGAGCCTCAAGCTGTCCCCCTGGGTAGAGTGCCATGGCATCACAGCTGATAGCAACCTCCAACTCCTGGGCTCAAGTGAGTCTCCTGCCTCAGCCTCCCAAGTAGCTGGGACTGCAGGCGCCTGCCACAATGCCAGGCTATTTTTTTTCGTTGCTGCCATGGTTGTTGTTGGGCGGGTCCGGGCTGGATTCAAACCCACCACCTTAGGTGTATGTGGCTGGCACCTTAGCCACTTGAGCCACAGGCGCCGAGCCTACCAAAATTAATCTTAAAGTATTAATAAATTAATAGCTTCATTAGATAAGTAATTCACAGTTCAATTCTAAAAACATGAAAATTCCAGGTTTAAACTAAGAGGCATTTTCTAAGGCCATCTAAAGGAAGAAAGTAATCTTTAAAACATGTTGTTAAATAAAAACTTAAAAATAATTTTTTTAGGCCGGGCATGGTGGATCATGCCTGTAATCCCAGCACTCTGGGAGGCTGAGGTGTATGGATTATCTGAGCTCACAGGTTTGAGACCAGCCTGAGCCAGAGTGAGATTTCATCTCTAAAAATAGGCAGCACCCATAGCTCAGTGGGTAGGGTGCCAGCCACATATACCCAGGCTGGCAGGTTCAAACCCAGCCCCGGGCCAGCTAAACAACAATGACAACTGCAACAACAACAACAACAAAAATAGCCAGGTGTTGTGGTGGGTGCCTGTAGTCCCAGTTACTTGGGAAGCTGAGGCTAGAGAATTGCTTAAGCCCAGGAGTTTGAGGTTGCTGTGAGCTGTGATGTGATAGCACTCTACCAAAGGCAACATAGTAAGACTCTGTCTGAAAAAAAATAAAATAAAATAAAAAATAAAAAAATAGAAATAGCCAGTCATTGTGGCAGGCGCCTGTAGTCTCAACTACTTGGGAGGCTGAGGCAAAAGGCAATCTCTCGTACCCAAGAGTTTGAGGTTGCTGTGAGCTATGATACCATGGTACTCTACCAAGGGTGACAAAGTGAGGCTTTGTCTCAAATAAATAAATAAATAAATATTTTTTTTCTTCCCCTTCAAATTTAGTAATTTGGGTACATAATTATAAGGAGTCAGTAACATTCATAAAGGGTTTATCATATTTTTCTCAATATTTGGTACCTTATAAGCTCATTTTCTTGAACCAAAATCAGAATTAAAATTTAACTTCACGCACTAAAAAAAATTCAGATACAATAAGTAGGTTATCACAACATGCATATAGCATAGCTTGGTCACCTAGGAAGCAACATATGCTGAAGACACCTAAGGCAAGGGGTGGACCTGGGAACCAGGAAGAGCTTCTTTCACTTGGCTACCCTGGTCTAGACAATTATCTTCCCTAAATGTCCCACCTGTAAATGGTAATAAAAACAATTGCTCCATGGGGTGGTTCTGAGGACAAATGAAATGATATAAGCATAGCAGTTAGCTCAGTGTCTGGCACATGGCAAACACTCAAAATGTATTATGATTATTATTATTGTCATCAGCATCTTCTATCTGGTAATTGTACTCTTCAACTTAAAAGAGAAGCTAATATTTGGGGGCTCTGGGCTTTGGGATGCTTTATATAACTTTGTATTATTGGCTTACTTTTAAACATAAGATACTTTGGTTTTGGAAAATTCTTATTTTTAAGGAACTGAATATGATGTGGCATGCAAGAATTCATAGATTTCATTAAGCTTTCTATTAATAATTGAAAATTCTTTTAATAATTAACTACTTAAAATTCTAATCATTTTCTTTTTTTTTTTTTTTTCTTTTTTTGAGACAGAGTCTCAAGCTGTCATCCTGGGTAGAGTGCTCTTGCTTCATAGCTCACAGCAACCTCCTACTAGGACTCAAGTGATCCTCTTGCCTCAGTTTTTCTATTTTTAGTAGAGATAAGGTCTCGCTTTTGCTCAGGCTGGTCTCGAACTCGTGAGCTCAAGCAATCCAACCACCTTGGCCTCTCAGTGCTCTAAGATTATGAGCATGAACCACCCAGCTCTTGGGCTTAGGTGATTCTCTTGCCTCAGCCTCCTGAGTAGCTGGGACCACAGACGCCTGCCACATGACCCAGCTATTTTTTGTTGTAGTGTAGTTGGTGCTGGGTTTAAACCTACCACCCTTGGTATATGGGGCTGGCACCCAACTCACTGAGCCACAGACGCTGCCCAAATACCTAGTTTCATAACCACTATTAGCAACAGTTTGGGGGGGGGGGGTTATTTTTTTGAGACAGAGCTTCAAGCTGTCCCCCTGGGTAGAGTGCCGTAGCATCACAGTCCACAACAACCTCCAACTCCAGGGCTCAAGCGAGTCTCTTGCTTTAGCCTCCCAAGTAGCTGAGACCACAGGCACCCACCACAACGCCCAGCTATTTTTTGGTTGCAGCCGTCATTGTTATTTGGCGGGCCGGGCTGGATTTAAACCTGCCACCTTGGGTGTATGTGGCTGGCGCCTTAGCCACTTGAGCCACAGGCGCTGAGCCTTAGCAGCAGTTTTAAAAGACAAAAAAGACGTTCAGAGTCCCATTACATATCTGAATTTTCATTAAGTGTATACATATAAATAATAAGAGTAATACATTGCTAGTTATTTTTTCATACTGCTTACCTTATTCACTAAAAGGTAACAAATGAGTGCTGAATTCTCCTTTCCAAGAAGTTGGAACCATAGTAGTTGGGAAGGTTTTAGCTCTTTTTGTAGCCATATCTTCCCAGTTTCAGTGAGTTCTACTCCAGCCAGCTTAACCAGCAAAGCACCGCAAGGCTCTTCTAAAAAGGTTAGGTAGAAAAGAGTTTAGCTTTAATAGCATTTGTAAAAGCAAATTCCAAAGTCATTTAGTCTCCAAAAAAACAACTGAATATATTATGTTCATTTAAAATATTCAAAACATAGGTCAATTTATTTCTATATTCAAATTTTCTTCTAAAACAATACAAATGTATATCAAATAGAATAATTTCAAACTCATTTCAGTAAGGAAGTGAAAATTAACTACCTTTTTTGTTTCAACCTTTCAGACTTAGTTTGAAGCATGTAACATAACACTATAAACATGTAGTTTTAGTAACATGGGCTACAGGGCTTGGTGGCTCACACCTATAATCTCAGCACTTTGGAAGGCTGGGGCTGAAGCGGAAGGATCACTTGAGGCCAGCAGTTTAAAAACAGTTTGAGCAATGCACTAAGACCCTGTCTCTACAAAAAAAAAAAAAAAAATTGACCAGGTGCAGGGGTTCACATCTGTTATCCTAGCATTCTGGGAGGCTGAGGTAGGGGAATTGCCTGAGCTCAAGAGTTTGAGACCCCTATCTCTACAAATAAAAAAAATTAGCCAGGCATAGTGGTACATATCTGTAGTCCCAGCTACTTAAGGAGACTCAGGCAAGAGGATCACCTGAGCCCAAGAGTTTGAGGTTGCTGTGAGCTATGACACCACACCACTCAACCTCAGGGCAACTGAGTGAAACTCTTGTCTCGAGAAAAAAAAAAAGAAAGAAAGAAAAATTTAAAAAAAGAATTAGCCAGAGGTGGTATTGTATGCCTGTATAGCCCTACCTATCTATACAAGGAGGCTGAGGCAAGAGGATCCCTTAAGCCCAGCAATAGGAGTTTGAGTTTACAGGAAGCCATGATTGTGCAATAGCAATCTAGCCTGAGTGACAGTGTGTGACCCTGTCTCTCAAATAACAACAATAACAATAATCTAGGCTATTACCACCAAAAGAACTGTAGAAACTGCTTTTTCAGTTAACTTATTGAGGATATTATCCCATCTCAATAAATATTGATCTACATCAACTTTTAAAAATACGTTTTGTAAAACTGACTTCCAAACAGGATTTTATCAATTTATAGTTAAAGAAACAGAGTATGAATATCTGTTTCCCTAAATTCTTGGTAAAATTTTAACCAATTTTACTTTCATAACAGAATTTTATTTTATAAGAAGTTTGTAATTTTCTGAAAAGGAATAATGGCTGACCCCCCCAAAAAAAAAATTTAGTGTCTTTTTTTAAAAAGAAATTATACATTTAACATATGTTAACTCTTATTAAAGAATTGAAAATATAAAGTTAAGTTCATTAATCTCTAGGAAAAAAATAATACTTTGATCAAGAAGATGTTGTTTGATGATAGAAAAACATTTTCTTTAGCATATAGGCTTCTTGGAACCTATCCTAGGGTTTCAGTTTGAGAAGCATTAAAAGATCTACACAGGAGAACTATGCCTTTAACAAAAGCTTTATAGTACAATAAATATACAAATCAGATGAAGATGGAATGAGGGTGATAGAGTAAGACTCTGTCACAAAAAAATAAAAATAAATTAAAAATAAACCATATTAATTATCTGGTTTGTTAAAAGAATCAATTGTGTCAGGTATGCTTAGGGGGAAAAAAGGTCAACCTATTCCCTTACAGTTATATCTCATTGAACAGTAATATTCATTCATCTGGGGGTTAAAAATGTTAAGAAGATCTTTAAATAGCCAGGCACCATGGCTCACACCAGCAATTCTAGCACTTTGGGAAGCTGAAGGATCACTTGAGGCCAGCAGTTCAAGATCAGCCTGGGCAAGATAGCAAGACCCTATCTCTACAGAAAATAAAAAAAAATTATCCAGTTATGGTGGTACACACCTATAGTCCCAGCTACTCAGGAGGCTGAGTCAGGAGGATTGCTTGAGCAATCCTCAGGAGTTTGAGGTTGCAGTTTGATTATGCCACTACACTATAGCCTGGATGATAGAGTTAAGAAAAAAATTTTTGAAATATAACTAAATTAACTCATTGGAGGGGCAGCACTTGTGGCTTAGTGGGTAGGGCACTGGCCCTATATACCAAGGATGGCGGGTTCAAACCTGGTCTTGGCCAAACTGCAACAGAAAAATAGCTGGGCATTGTGGTGGGCGATTGTAGTCCCAGCTACTCGGGAGGCTGAGGCAAGAGAATTGCCTACGCCCAGGAGTTGGAGGTTGCTGTGAGCTGTCTGATGCCACAGCACTCTACAAAGGGTGATTAAGTGAGACTCTGTCTCTACAAAAAAAAAAAAAAAAATTAATTCATTGGACAAGTTTTACCAAGTCTCTATTGGCTAATAAGTATTTTTCTAAGGACTGTGACTATTCAGACAAAAAGAAAAGGCTCCTGCCCCTGAGGTGCTCACAGCTTAATGGAGGATATAAACCTAAATACACATAGTAATTATAGAGAAAGGTGAGTGAGTATTATAATCTCAGTATGTTATAAATTGCCGCAAGATATAGTAAAGAAAGAGGCTAATTTGGCTTTGCAGTTAAAAAAGCTTCACAAAAGAGCTGACAGTTGAGCTGGATCCTAAAGAATCAGCAAGAGTTCGGGAGCCAAGACACCCGAGCACTGAGACCCAGCAGCAGGAAGGTCTGTGTGGCACGGTCTTTGATGTGAAGCTAGAAGAAACAGGAATTGCACCAGGAAGGATTCGGCCCATGCCCCTCTCTCCAATCCCCTTTGGTGCAGCTCCCCCTTGCTCCTAGTACCTCAGCTGCTAGAGCTGTCATATGGCTTGTTAAAACAGTCAAATTCATTCCTACTCTGCTGTTCCAAGCTAGCCCCTCTTAATTCTTTAGGTGTCTGATTAAATAGCAACACCTCAATGAAGCCTTCTACCTATCCTGTATGTGCAATTCCCCACCCTTCACACGACCCCCAGTAATTCTCTATCCTAACACCCTGCTCTTTTCCTTCATAGCTCTTAGCAGTTTTTCATTCCTTTTTTTTGAGACAGAGTCTCACTATGTCACCCTTGGTGAAATGCTGTGGCATCACAGCTCACAGCAACCTCAAACTACTGGCCTTAAGTGATTCTCTTGCCTCAGCCTCCCAAGTAGCTGGGACTACAGGTGCTGGCCATAAACCCAGCTATTTTTTTGTTGCAGTTGTCATTGTTGTTTAGCTGTCTGGGGCCAGGTTCGAACCCACCAGCCTCAGTATATGTGGCTGGCGCCATAACCACTGTGCTATGGGAGCAGAGCCAGTTTTTCTTTCTTTATTCCACCTCTAGACCATAAGCTCCAAGGGCTCAAGGGGCTTTGTTTCCCCAGGATTGTACAGTTAGCTTAGACCAGTGATTTTCAACCTGTATGCCATGGCACACGGTGTGCCATGATAGGATCTTAGATGTGCTGTGAACAATTTTAAAGGTCATTGGGGTGGTGCCTGTGGCTGAAAGGAGTAGGGCGCTGGCCCCATATGCCGGAGGTGGTGGGTTCAAACCCAGCCCTGGCCAAAAACAACAACAACAAAAAAAAAAAAAAAAAAAGGAAGAAGAAAACACAGGGAGAGCATTAGAAATTAACAGGAGCTGACATTCAGCACTTACCATGTGCCAGGCTCATGGATTGACATAATAAATGTTCACAATAACCCTGTCCATTGGCACTTTGCCATTGGTATTTCACAGACAAGAAAAGAGAATCATAGAGCAGTTATTGGCTCAAGGTTATGAAACAAGCCAGGTGGGGAGAAAGAGATCTGGGATTTGAGCCCACATGGTTTGAGAGCTATCAGAGCCTGTGCCAGAGGCACTGACTGCATTAGATAAACCCTCCTTTCACAATCACAATGAAGAATTGTATCACCCTCCCTGAAGAAGGTCTATTTCTGAGAATTGTTGCAAAGGTGTTGGGACTTCAGAGGTTTGGAATAAAGATAGCAAACCAAAAGGGCAAAGGCAGTGGTCACATTAGGTTTACTCAAGTGAGGATATGAACGCCTAGACGTCACAGTTAAGAAGAGATTGCTGTAATCTGTAAGAAACAATTAAAAACCTATCGAATTTCATAATGCACTTCGGTGTGGCTGTGGCAGGGTCCTCAGCACTTGCCATAAATTCAAACACACACATTCATTAGATGAGACGCTGCAAATGGGTAGAAGTCTGACTGTATTCTACAAGTCTCTCAAGTTCCCTGGCTAGAAAGAACGGGTCTCACCTCAGACAGTCCTGAAACACCAAACTGGAGTTTGTGCCTCTCTGTCTGCTCTATGCCA